AATTTAAATAATAAATTTCATGTAACCATATGTGTATATAAGTAAATAAAAATAGGTATGTATTTCTGGTATATGTGTGTGTGTTATATAAAGTATTATATATATATAATTAAATATACGTTATTATATTTCGTTAAATACTTTGTTTTCTCATGAATAGTAACAATCTTACTTGTAGTATGTTGTCGTTGTGCTTGTTTGCAATGTCCTTTGGCAACCAATGGAAATATTCTCGATATTATCTATTTGTGACCACAATGCTACTGTGCCTATGCTGTATCGACATTTGTGTCCAAATCCCTGAGATACAAGTGGCAAGAAAAATAAATAGGTCACACAAATGGAGGAATTATGTAAAATATTGAATAATATTGGTTCCAAAAACTCTAATTGTTGAGTATTTAATTTAAAATTAATTTACAACTTACTACCGCTTACTTTAATTTACTATTTTACTATGTTATTCACTATCCAATTATAATCTAATTTATTACAGTTGAACTTTTATATATCCTTCAAGACTAGTTTCCTTATATCTTCCGCAATCATATTTTCTAACCACTTAATTTCTCTTTTTGTTCTGTCATATTACATTAAAATTCGAATAACTTTGGCAATATGAGACAGAATGAGTGAAAATTATCGAAAAAGAATTATTACTCAGCACTTCCGCTATTGTAGCGAAATTGCCTAATTGTCGTACACTTGTTCTTTTTTCTTTTTCTTTTCAAAGAGAGAATACTTCCATTTCATGCAAAGACTGAAGCCAAAATATTAGCTGTAAGCAAATCAACATTTTTTATTTGCTTACTGCTAATATTTTTTTGTAAAACTATGAACCTTATATAACCTATGCTCAAGCATATCAGATTAGCAAGTGTGATGTCTATGCAATCATGTGTTCTACCTCATTCTGCCTATTACAACATGGAGATAGCATGACATCAGTGTTGGGAAAAATACAAACAAATAAAAATAATGCAAAACAAATATTAGAAATAGGATGAGAAAAATAATAGTTATCCAAAGAAAGCTTATTCAGATTTTACTGTATTGAGTTCATCAATTAATGTATACAGTAATTTATGTTTATTATGTCTTTTGACAAAAATTTAAAAAAACATCGAAGAGCTGCTCAATTTCAATGAGAGTAAAGAATACAAAAGCCCAAATGTATATTTTGTATTTTTATGTAATTTTCTTAATATATAAGTTTAAAGAGATTACTGTTATTTGATAAGTATGTTCCTTATATTAAAATAATATTTATAATAAAGATAATAATAGTTATAATTACCTACATCATTAAACAGACAAAATCATGTACCTGCTGTTGTACTCTCTCGTCCCAATAAGGCATATAAGCTGCCACAAACCAATCTCCAGATTGTGGTCCATAAACCGGAACAATGGTTGCATTCTTTGGTTGATATGTTGTGGTAGTAGTAACTATGATACTATCATCCTGTTTGGTATATTCACTCGTTAGGAATATTCCATTGTTTGTTGTTATTATTGGATAGCTACCGATTTTTAAATGTCTGAAAGTTGCAATTAGATATCTCTGATTGTGTCCCTATATTTTGTTCTTCTTTATTTTCTTAGAATAATTTATCCTAATTACAATCTATTTTATTATTCTATATTATTTTATCCTCCAAATTATGATTCTCTAGTAATTTACTCCAATTATCTCACAATTTAATTACTGTCCATTATTATTTCCTTAATTTTATTACTATTTTACTAAAAAAATTCATACTAGATTTAATTAATTAATATCAATTAATTCAATTAATTATTATATTGTTTTTTTCAGCTATTATTTCCTCCTTGATTGACATTCTGGTAGCAAAATAATTTTGCCTAAATTAAAATAAGTCATTCAATAATTATTTTATATCCTAGAAACACATATTTATAAACTAATATCGCATTTTATTAGAAGAGATATATTTTGTATATTTTAAGTTGATGTAACTTATAGTTATAAATAGAGAATGTTTGACGCTATTAAATAAGAGAATAAAGCTAAACAACTTTTATCAAATAATTTACCAGAAATTATATCAAAGAAAGAATTTATTGTAGCATATTTTCTGTAAATTTTTAAAAATAATTAAAATTTATTGTGCAAACTTCATGTCTTTTATATA